ATGAAAACTTAATCTGCTATATGGCCAGAAATATATAAACTAAGAAGACCGACGGTTCCATAAAATCAGAACCCCTAAAAGGATGATGGATTGAACTTTAATTCGTCGCTTTTCAAAAATGGAATTCTAGGAACAAATAAGACAAAAGACATCAATGTTCTGATATCGGTCAGCAGTACTTTTGATTCACCTTGTTGGAAAGGAGTCACGTTCCAGTATAAGACAAGAGATGCGATGCATACATTTATCATATTTTATAAAATACTGCTGAGTAGACTTCAAGTCCTGTTTAAGTTTGTTAGTTAACTTAAAACGGTGAATTTTAATAAAAATCTGTGCGTTTGGCTCACTTTTGCAGAGAAAAGTTCCACCGCATCGCCAGTTGCCTGTTTTTTGTTCTTGCTTGTTTTTCAAAATAAAAAAGAGCATATTCGCATATTTCGACTGTCAGTCCGAAAAGGTGCGTAAAGTCGCGATCGGGCGACATTTTGTCATCGTTCGGAAGGCAAAGAATTCACAGTCGGGCATTGAATCACGTCATAATCGAGTTGAAGATAACCGCGTTTGTTGTTTACCATCTCATAAGGTCGGCATTCGGTTCTCACCAAGCTCCCGTCGACCTCATTGAAATACGCGGAAAACCCCGCTTGCGAAAAGTGCTTCGTAACTCACCCAGAGATCCGAATTCGATCCGAAACAAGGGGAAATGAGATACAATAATTTTACAAAATGACAGTCAGTTTTTCCGACATTCAGAACGAGCGTAAAAGTGTTCCAGACACTTTTGCGTTTTTTGTGACCGGAATGTCTGGCATCATCTGGCAAATGCTGACGAGGTGTGGAGCACCGACACTGCTGTCGATTCGCGTTCTGTCGCATGAAGACGAGGAGAGAAAAAGGTGTCACTTTTGACACCAGGTTTAATCCGAGGGGGGGGGAATAAAAATAACGTTTGATTTTTTTTGTGGTTACCACCGTGAGATTGAGATCAATCTGAACTGAAATTTAAATTAGGATTTCACATTACTTAAGATCAATATTTTCACTGAATTCACTCGTATGTAGCAACACAGTGCTGTGTATATTCTACTTCAGCGGATAAGCGGAACCAAATTTAAACTCGAGATGAAATTACAGTCGAAAAATGAGGAAAGCGGTATATGCCGTATTTACTTCAATATTTAATCACTATAAAAGCAGTGATGTATGAAGAACTCAGAATGCATTCAAAACTGAAATTATATTTTAATTTTTTTTAAATATATGCAGCATCGAAAAAAAAATGCGGCTGGAAAATTTGAAAATCTGCAGATTCACCATTTGAAATTGATCGGAGGATTGTACGAGGCTTCTACCAATATTATTTCAATTTCCGTTTTTTGAAATTTGTGCTTATTTTTTCTTCAATTTCCGCGGAATTGGTCGAACTGAATTGTGTCATCTATTTCGAATCATGGATTGCATGCATGTGAAATCTAGAAATAATTTCGCACGTGTCGTTCATATTGATATTCTAAAGAAAGATCTCTTCAGCTTCCGGAAGCTCGGATCATCTGCGAAAATTCTTTCACGTTTTACCGGATGCGGCAGGAAAAAAAGCTGAGATTTCCTAGAAATGGGATGTTTTTCTTTGCCGAAAGCATGACCAATGCGTTGTCGAGGTTTCGACGTCGTTCCGAGGATTTCTTCGCAGTTTCTGTCCTCTTCCCTATTCTCCGTTTAAAAGAAAATCGGGAGCTTTTCTGCTTTGGTTTTGTTTTGTTTTTTTGCAGAAAAAAAAAACGCCTGTGCGTTATGTTCGTTCCGTCTGCTCACACGTGACCCTGAACCGCATCCCTCGAAAACTTTTTTTGAAATCTTCTCAGATTATCTCTGGTTGAGGTGTCGAGGTATTTGTTATTGTGCGTGTTTACAATTTGAAAATTTGCAGAAGAAAACGAATGAGAAAACCGCATTTGCTAAGAAATTCGTCTGATGGCACTGGTATATCATGCTCGGATCTGAATTACTTTAAATTCATGCATTCAGATCACGTTATATACCTTTTCATTCAGTACTGGTAGTGGATGGGTGGTTTAAGAAGTCAACTTGAATGCATTTCCATTCCGTGAACTGCCTAGGGGCTGTGAAACTTAAATCGCGGTCGGACTTCAACATAGTCCTCGTTGGATCAGAATCAGGGTTGGACTTCCTGGAAATAATTCAAGCGATGGGCAACATTTTGAATTAATACAACTGGGGCGATTGCTAGGGAATCCCTAAACTCCTAAAGCATCAGTTGCTTTTGGGCGGCAGAAAGATATCTTCTAAACAGTGCATGCATTGCATTGAATTTGTTTTACTACGGGCTTGACGCTTCAATATTCAACGCCCACTTTTCTTATCTGAATGAAAACAATTTTTCTTTGCACCAAAGTCTTCTCAGATTCTCATGACAATTGCCCTCCAACGAAAAAATATGCAGCTACTCAAATGAGTAACTATTGAGCGTTTCACTCATTAACTGACACTATTTTGAAGGATGGTCAACAGATCCCGAGGTCGTCAGAAAGTGGAATGCATCTACCAAATTCAAAATTCTACAAGGCAAAAAATAAACTTGACGTATGTAGTAGTTGTTGGCATCTTAGCACATCGTTTCTGTGACTTATTCGGTGACTTCAGCTATTTTTTTCTGTTTACTGTGACTCGGTTAATTTTCTTACTGTTTCAACTTGATTGATACCTGTTTCCGATCGAATTTTTCGCTATATTTCAGTTTTAAAGCAGAGATGTGTAAGCAATGCACCACTCAAACCTTCGTGACCGGGCAACTGTCAATCAAAATCCTCCCATTAAAAAAAAAGTGCAACCAGAATACTTTGTGCCAAGTTATTTACATTATTTGTAATGAAGGATCGAATTGGATCGAGAATGAAATTGCATGACATGCATATGCTCAATATATTTTATTTACGCATACTGTACTTTTTTTCTTGACTGATCAAACTTTCTTACCCTTATCATGAAGCATTGGGTGTGGAATAATGATTGACGATAGTATCAAATGTTATAACGAGACAGTGAAAAAAAAGAAAAAAATTTTTGCCGACACTTTTTCCTCAGAAAATTTACAACCCGAATGAGTCTAAAGAAATATCGAGTAACTTTCTTATCTCATTGAATAAAAAAAAAAAAGGTTCTGCGTTTCTTCTCCGAGGCTGGGTTCCTTCAGAAATTTTTGTATCCACGACGATCTGGGATGAGTATTTACGCTGTCAAGATTGCAGGCTTCGTTGAGGGCGTCGAAGTGCTGGAGTCAAGTCTCATCAACGGATTATTTGGGTTACATAGAAAAAAAATAGTTTCTAGCTTCGTCTGATATTGTTTCGTGGAACGCACCAAAAACAAGGACTTTCCCATGGTCCTTGCCGCAGAGAGGCGCATCGCACTACACCTGCTAGTGTGTCGCGTCAGATTATGTTGAAGAGGCCTTTTAAAGGTGGTCTTGGACCGGGAAACAGTGAAATAATGCCCTTTTCCTCTGCACTATTTACTCGAAGGTAAGACTCCCAGGTAAACAATCGAGGTATAAACTGTACTAGAATTGATTAGGTCTTTTGATCTGCAAGTGCTGGCATGAAATTTATGGATTTATCTGAAATCTTACGATCACCAACGATCAGTTCAGTTTGAAGGTTTTTTTCTGTTTTTTACAAAATTTGGCTGAAGAAAATCTCTGGTAGAAACCTTCTGGATGATTTTCTCGGAATAAATTGACGTAAGTGTCGTATTTCATTGTGAAATAAAGTAATGGAATGCCTTGAATTTGAGTATCTTTCATGCCTGTTATTAGAATGCATTGAGTCTGTAGATACTGTATATTATTTAGAAAAGTTAAAAAATGCTTGGCCTGCTCTGTGTAATTAAATTTCTGCCGAGGAACTTTGGATCCTAAATTTTCCAGCATATAAACGCTGCTTCAGATTAAGTGCCTGCGTTGTTTAATTGAAAGAGCCCTCGATTACTCCAATAAATTAGGTCATTGATTAGTCGAATCCTGTGTCATCGTCGTCGTAGGTCCAATTTCTGATTACCAAGGAATCACGTCCCAATGTGCAGAGGGGTCCTGACATGAGATAGTGCCAGGAATCGGCCCCAATTCCGTTGGGTTCTACTTGGTTGACAATAAACAGCGCGCGGACTCGCGGATAAAAACCATGGCCCGAGATGGAGTTCGGGGCTTAGTCTTGGCAAAAACCTGCGCGGGAAGAGCCACTGTTCCCGCGTGACCCAGCTCATCTTTCCATGGTTTCCTCTTCACTTGATAACAATCCCCAGAAGAACATAAAGCCCACATAAAAAAGGAAAAAGATAATTTTCAATAACATAAAAAAATGAACTAAATGAAATCCCTCAAATCTCAGTGGGAGAGCTTCGAAGGATTTCCACGAGCAGGTTGAACTTTTTTCGAAGTGTGAAAACAGAAGAAAATGCGGAAACGTCGAACACAGGTCGTCACAGAAAGAACTAGGGTCGGTCGTTGGCGTATTGCCCGAGATTTGCGCGAGTCGTTCAGTTGTAATGACGTTCCAGGCAAGTGAAACGTCGGGACAGAACCGAAGATGTCTTTCGTCGCCTCTTTTTTTTTCATATACAGTATTTTCACTAGCCTCTCACCCCAAAAAAAATAAAAACCATCCCGAAAAGAAAACCTTCCGACCGGGCCTTTATTCATTCTCTCAGCGGTTAGTATGTGAGAAAAACCCCTCAAAAGATCTCCGCTATACTCGTACGTTATTATTTTTTTGTTTACCTTGTGATGCGAAATGAGTTCTTGGCCTCTGATGGGGTGGATGTAAATCTTCAGTAACTTTTCAGTTAATCTCTCGTTGGTCGTCAATTAGTGACACTTATTTTCTCGTGCGCGGCGTCGTAGAGGTGATGGGCCACGCTGCGTCGGACGACCTTTAATGCCTTCGGGATATTTTATTTAACCTTGCTTATTCTTCTCGCAACATAGGCATCAACGCTTTTCTGGCTTTCCCTGTGAAAACCTGTGAAGAAATTCAGGATGCCGTACGCAAATTTCGTGAACAACTTGGTGTCGAAGCTTCGCGTCGAGAATGTCATCTTCCGCGAATTTTTCGCAGAGTTCATCGGCACGTTTCTCCTCGTTGTGAGTATTATTACACGTGTTTGTTCATTTTTAGTCATCGAAGAGGAGAAGTTCGACTGGGAAGCAATTGACGAAAATTCCAACCGAAGTTTAATTTTAAATTTCACATGCACGCGAATACATGACATCATTTCTTAAGCAGTAAGAAACTTTAATTATTCGACCTCCAGACTGGAAAATCTGTAAGACATTATTGGATATTCGCGATATTCCTCCAAGTTAATTTTGAGGAATGAACCGGCATTGAATGATAATCACGAGAACTCGGCATCACATACACGAATATTCAGTGTTTGTACGAAAAATATTCTCAGTAAGACAAAATGAAAACTTTGTCGTTTCAATTACTGTTTATGCACGGGAAAAAATTAGCAAATCATTTTTCAGATTTTCGCTTCCAGCATCATTTAGTTTTCTATATTTTGATCAGATTATTTTTTTCGATTTTATACTGACTAGAAAAAAAGCTTCATTGATTAATATACGATATTATTATTTTATTCTGAAGAAATTTTGCGGGAAACTTCGTTAGCGAGAATTTTTGGTGAATCATGTCATGCGTTTTGAGAAAGGATATAATTTTTTTGGAAAAACTCGTATTGAAAAATTGCGTTTGATATTTTTCGTAAATGTTGTCACGGACTGGTGGGGCGACAGAGGTCACCACCGGCAATCCGAAAAAGATGCTTGACTTAATATTCGTCAGGCATTTTTTTGCTGCAAACCATACTCTTCCAGCATGAAGGTACACGGCTGAAACAGGTCACAGTAATTTTTGAAAATGTAATAGTCGAGATTGAAAGGGCAATGACCACTCTGAGACTGTAACTGGCCACTGCTTTTTTGCAACGGCCAGAAATTAATTTCAACTAGGTACGCTTCATCAGGAAGTAATTAAAAGAAATTACGTTTTTGTTTTAAGAAAATTTCCTACTGTTGAGCCTTCAGTTCCCCAGTAACCTCCCCTATAGAGGGTTGTTGCATTTTGTGTGAACTAAAATGCATTTCCCCCATTTGCAAAAGACTCTCTTCTGGATTACCCATGTTGCATTATACTGCGTTCCTACCTTCTATATTGTTGCGTTCCTTTTTACAACCCCGTTGACGAATCATTATTTATCAGTCAGGCCCTCTGGAAATGATTTCTGTAGTGGAAATGTTCTGCATATTTTCTGAGAATGAAATTTAAATATTTTACGCACGAGAGAAACTCGATCATAGTGAATGGCTCCGATTGTTTGCCATCTTCATGACGAATAGACTTCGTTGCCGGCGACAAAGTTGATTTTTTGTTCTTTGTCTCCGTGACGACATCTTTGATTTGAGTTCTGCTTGTTTACTTTACATTTATTCGTCAACTTGTTCGATTGATCCTGGTTATCGTCAAGTAAGGATCATCGTTCCGTTCGGAAGTGACGCGAAACAGATGGATCCCGAAACGACGGGTTCTGCCATCAACAGAATCCAGAGTTTCAGTAGCTGCTGCTTCGAATGTTTCGTGTTTTGAATTTTTTGATGTTAGAGACGTACCCTAATTCATTAGTATTGTTTGCCTCGTTCCCACGGAGAGCAAACCATGCTTACATGGAGAGATTAGCTTATCGCAGGGCGATAAACTAATGGGCAACCATTTCAGGAAAGTTTTTTTCTTCTTCTAAGAATAATACATCATTCGCAAACGCTCTTGTTTTCTTTTCAACATCTTCCCATGCCGTCTCTAAATAGTTAAACTTGAATGCATATAACTCGGATGGAGAACTTCATACACTGCTTGTGCCAGGTTTTTTTTTTTTTTTCAAGTGCCCACGCGCGCGAGAACAACTATGGCATCTTAAAAATTGGTTTAGCCTGGCAACAAACTGGGTTGCCGAGGTGAGCTGAAACATTTATCGGTCATTGCCATGTGTTCATGAGGTGGTTATGAACGTACACGTTGTTACCCACGTGTCCAGGGGTGAGTTCAGTTGCAAAATACGAAATCGCAGGGAAGAATAATTTACGAAGAATAATTCTATTTTTGAACTACATTTTTCAAGATGAACTCAAAAGTTCCGTGATTTCAAAAGAATTGAAGAGCTATTTGTCGACTTTTTTACTTAACACCCTGGTCCAATGTAAGAGCTAGCACGCCGTAAATTTTAGGATGTTTTCAACCAGTATTTTCAAAATCATTTAAGAAAGCGTGTTGCTGCTTTTGTGTATGTCGGACTTCCATCTTTCTTGTTATTTCAACAGAAGTTTAGGAAAGATTGAAGTAAAATGTAATGGTATTTTTACTCGCTGTGAGATCCTTGTGAAAATATCAAGTTATAATTTTAATGTGCAGAACTAACGAAAAAAACTGCGTATTGCAAGAAACTAAAATTGCGCTTAATCCCGTAATTTTTCTGTTTTGAAGTCTTTGCGAATTTTTTGATACAATCGAGATGTCAGAATTTCAATCATGTTTTATGATGGAATTTTAAAAAACTAATTGTATTCATTTCAGGTTTTGCTCGTGTGGTACAGAAGTCTCCGAATTAGTAATTAATAAAGCGAGTCAATTCATCACTTGAGGAAAATGGGTCAAAATAACCCAGCTTTTGCTGCAGAAGTTAGGTCATGTCAGCAGAATCATGGTTGGTTTCCCTATTAATTTCGCGAAGATAAGTTAGACCTACTCATGCTCGTGACACCGTATCTGTGAGTTTGTGCGAGTTCGGTCAAGGCGTCCCATGCGTGGACGGCGTTGGCCTCTTACCCGCAAACAGAACCCATCTTGGTTATGCAGATCACGGGCGCTTCTCCCTGGGCCGCACCTTTGGGTCCTCCGGGGCTTTCATTATCCATCTGCCCCTCATTCCATCAACTATAAGGCCTGCAGTTGACTAGAAGTTGCTAGAACTATACACAAGCCTTCCAAGGAACTCAGTTCATTTCAAAAAAGGGCTTGTCAAAATTTTTCCGACATGCTCCGTCTGTCACAGTGAGAAAATTCATTCGTTATTCAAATTTGAAATACCCACGCACAGAAAGCTGCTTCTGTCCCAACTGACAATTACGCTGATCGATTGTGTATGCATCGACTTTTTTTTTCGACCGGTGCACTTGAAAGGATGCAACCAAAATAGTTCAAGTCACTCTCCAGTGTTTCTTTCTACATCTGTAAAAATAAAAGTGATTTTAAAACCTCTGAACGCGTGCTCAAGACTCGCGTGACACGCTCCGTAAGTTTGTCATCCACGGGGTTTTAAAAAGGCACCCGTGTCACAATCCTACCACCTCACCAAATTTTTTTTCAAGTGGATTGAACATTCTAGAAAATTCATGAAACTTTAAAATCGCCACATTTATCTTCCATGGTCTATGTAGACGCCGTTGAAAATCAAAGGTTTCTTTTTTTCGGGGCTTCACTGAAGACAGCTGAAGGGAAACCCTGGGTTACTCTCGAGCGAGCGCAAAAATGCGGAAGTCGCAACGACCCGCACAAAACCCCGTCGCATATCGCAAGAGCGACAATGAGGCGAATTAAATCGCGATGAATTCGCCCGCATGACGCTACGACATGCATCCGACTGCATTAGAACGTAAATCACAGCATTCTATCACGTTTGCAGACAAAAAAAAAAACGGTTTCCATCTGAGTTTCTACTTGACACCCAGTCTAGGAAAGATTGTATGATGATGAAATATGTTTGACAGAAGCGAGTCCCCGAGTAAAAACAAGGAATCTTCTTTGAAGAAGATTGTGTGAATGAGCATGTATACTCGGGGAAACCATGGTGGCTAATCAATGATATATCAAATTACAAGAAAACATACTTTTACAAGCCCGGTTTGACTGAAAATAACGCTCTTGATCGTGCATCTCAATCCATAAATTGCCAAGGTCGAACAGTATTGTGTCTTGTTTTTAATAATTTCATTACAGGGATTGGGAAAATTAAACAGACCTTCGAACATCTCGATTAAAAAAAAATATGTTCAAAACCTAACAGTTCAACTTTCATCTCTGATCACATCTACCTTCTCAGCATTCATTAATATTTTCCCCATTTTTCTAAATTCGACCATTCTGGTTAACTTTGAATTAGTAAAAATCTTCATGATTGAATAACAATACAGTTTCCGTTAGTAACCTTGCGTGCTTTTAAGCATTCAATTCATCCAACGGAAGTTCATTCCTTATCTCTGATTAATTATGGTTAGAGCTCCTTTAATGGATCAGGAAGAAAAAATAGAGCGAGAAAATTGTGCTGTTGCTTATCTTTTTGACCAGGTCGTATTTTTTTTAGGAGGGTAAGTCAGAGAACCTTCAACAACTCCGAATTTTCCAAAGGGCCCTCCGAGCAAGAGTCCTGCATCTGATCATTGCAACTCTTTATTCTAAATGCCCAGATGGTCAGTGATCTGACGAAGAGTAAAATTAGTGCCACAGTTTGTTCATGAAAGTAAGTCTCAGCTGAGAAAACCTCTACTTGAATTGAAAAATATTGCCAGCATTTAACATAGATTGTCTCGGTCTTGTAGGAAAGGTTTTGTTCCCAAAGCCGCGATGATAACAGTTCTACTGAATCATAGGAAATGCATGAATGGAGGAACAAAAAAAAAAAAAACGAGTTATTCAACGATGTATTATTTTTTTAACCATTTCCAGCTAATTGGCAACGGATCTGTGGCCCAAGTAGTCCTGAGTGGCATGAAACATGGAGACTTTTTCACAGTCAACATGGCCTACGCTTTGGCTGTCGCCTTCGGGGTGATGGTTTCCGGCGGCATTTCAGGTGAGAATATGAAAACTGGAAAAAGAGAGAATATTTTTTTCAAAATATTTCCGACAGGAGGACACATCAACCCGGCGGTAACCTTGGCAATGGCTTTGGCCGGGAAGTGCTCATGGGTCAAAGTTCCAGTTTTCTGGGCGGCACAATATATTGGGGCCTTCGTTGCATCTGCAGTACTTTACGGCGTGTACAAAGGTATTGTACATACCTAGATTTTCTCAAGTTGAAGATCGAGAAACATTTTTAAATATTCGATGTTTGAATCTTAGACGCTCTTACGGCATTCGCTCCTGAACCGTACACCATCCAAACCGCCGGAATTTGGGCCACATATCCGCAGGAGTTCCTTTCCTTGGGCAACGCTCTGTTCGATCAGGTAATTTTTGAACGAATATCGTGATAAAGTCAGGAATAGCACTCAATAATATAATCGACGTGTGAAACCTAATGTTACCAGATCTCCGAGGCGAAGTACTGTATACCAGTACTTAGAAATTTATGGTTGAATCAAATTTAAAGTACAACGTATGTCACGGTTTCTCTGAAGCAAACACAGAACGGGGGAGTAATTTTTTAAGACATCTCGCTTCGGGATGCTTCAAAAATATCAGAGCACAAACAAGTGCTCCGGTTACTCTCTGGGTTCTATGCAACACCATGTCTTCAGATTAGAGTATAGGCTGAACTTCTTTTGTTATCGAAGATTAGGTATTCAATGTATTGCGAGTGCAACGATATTTTAAATGAATTTTATAACCCGTTTCTTCAAGAAATGCCTTGGATTATCTTATTTTCCCGATATCACCTAGGATTTTCTAGTCCTCATGCCAAAAGATATCTTCTATACAGGGGCGGAATTTCAATTGTCATGTATAATCAAACAAACAAGGAATCCTGAGAATCTTAATTTATGGTCAAGCTATGAATTGATTTTTTTTCAATAGATTTACCTTATCTATTGGGCATTGCATAAAATTCAAATGAAATTCCCCATCATTCAAGAGATCCTTAACTAATTGGAAAAGTATCTGAATTATCTTTGACTAATTTTTTGGAGAAAAATTCTTTTTTTCGTATACCGTGAAATTCCAACGAATGTAATTAATTCTAATTTTTCAATAAAACGAGTTTTTTTTTGTCTATGCCTTTCTCTCAAATTAATAATGTGTTGGGACGCATTTTCCATTGGTTATTTCCAGAGTGGGTATTTATTGCCCATTTTCCAAAAACTTCCAGTCTAAAATGTGTTAAAACCCATGAATCTCACTACAACACCTTTTTTTTGCAAAAACGAATTTTTCTGTCCAGTCCCGGAGAGTTCGTTGAAACGAAATTTTACTGTACCTTAGTAGCTGACGAAAAATTTTTCTCGAGGTTCTATATACACGTGATTCAACTCATATTATTGAAGAACAGGGTGTGTAAAAGTCTTGATCCAGAAGCGTTTCACTGATTTTGAGAATCCTGACAGATTATCGGCACCTTCCTGCTCCTGATCATCGTTATGGCTATCACTGATCCGAGAAACATGGAAGTGTCCAAGGGTTTGTATCCGCTCTATGTCGGACTGACTGTTGGAGCGGTTGGGATGGCTTTCGGGTTCAACTGCGGCTATGCCATCAATCCTGCTCGTGACTTGGCACCTCGGGTATTCACGGCGATTGCAGGATGGGGAGGTCAAGTGTTCAGGTAAAAATTGCATTTGTCACTAAGCCCTGTTCATGGTATTCAGGCAATGAAAATTAATTTAAAATGCACCTTACTTTCCATGCCGATTAAAGGACAAATGAGAAGAAAAAAAAACATTCGTTCGAGAATAGAATATGCTTCAGATGTGCTTCATGAAACCAATGAAAATTGTCTTTTCTACAAGGTGGCGCTATTTTTTGTCTCTTCAAATAAAATGCATACGGGTGAATAAGTATGAATTAAGGCTCAGTGTCACTTAGTATAGAGATAAACGATTCAGACAAAACATTTCCCATTTTAATTTTTTTCCAGTTATTTGCCAGATGTAAAATTCATCAGTTGAGATCACGCTTCTGATTCATCCTCAGTACGTGGAAAATATTTATTGCACTTGATATCTTTAATCCATGGGAATTATGGATGCTCACTTTTGTTCAACTCGCAGTTATTTTTTGCAACAATGACGCGTACTTATTTATTGGCAATCAAAAATCGGGAAAAGCTTATTTTACTCTTTTTTTTAAACTGAACACGGCATTTGAACGATTTCAACTTACATTACAGTGCCGGAAACGGATTTTTCTGGGTTCCTATTGTTGGCCCACACATCGGAGCTATTCTGGGAGTCCTCGCATACGGACTCACGATAGGGTACCATTTTGGCGACGATGAGTACGTTGTGACTCAGACGAAAGGCAAGTTCTTCGACTGACGACTAAACTAATTCTTTCTCGTGTTTGCCCAAAAAAATAGGCTGTCGAGCAAACATGCTCAGGTCCCGAAGAAAAAGTTCGCCTGCTAGGTCCAACCTTGACCGGAACGAGAAAAAAAAAATATTTCGAATAATGACCTTCCTTTTTAAATCAGTTTCTTCCGGTGACCGGGATAAGATAATACTGTATTTTAATTCCTGCATGCTCCTCATCCTAGATTTCCGGGCGTCGGCGGGTTCTCCAGCTTTTCCTAGATTCAGCAGAACCACGGGCGCTTCTCCATATTATACTCCATATTAGATTAAACTCTCTACCAACGCATTATTCATTAATCTTACGAATTCGTCTTCCGTACGCGTTTTACCATACATGAACATCGTACGACTACTTCCGAAGTCGGAACAAGGAAGACTGACACTTCCTTCCCCGCCAGCACAAGTATAAAGATTATATCCAAGGCTTTCGCAGTTCGTGAAAATCGCCTTCTGTATTATTTTCAAATTCGGCCATATATAAAAATTTGGAATAATCCTAATACTGGAATTCAGATCTTGTCGCTATTTTATCGAGTCTCCTAAAAATGATACAGCTCCGTTATTAATTTTTTTTCTGAAACGATAGGAAAATGACCAGAACTTGGATCAGATATGTCTATGGAAAAGTGTTGAAATAAACTTTGAATGGCAAAAGGGGGCAGAAATTTTAGATTGAATGTCTGTGCGTTCAATCAGAAATAAAATTGCAAGCGTCTCGTATTCGAAAATCAAATTTTCATCAAGACGTACAACCGGTAAAAATTTATTTCAGAAGCTTCTGGGGCACGGCTTGCATCGAAAGAGATGTCTGAAAAATTTTGCTAGAATATTTCTTGTTTCCAGATCTGAAATATGTCAATACTTCCGAGGGGACACGAGGCAGTATTTTTTTGTTGGAATTTCTCGAGCCTCGGGTAATCTCTTGTTGGTCTGAGACCTCACCTTGGTCCACGAGGTCGGTTTAAAGCTGTTGTCGTGCATTTATTGAAGAAAGAAGATTTTTCTCAGGCTCAAACACGTCTTGAAAAACCCAGTCAATATTTTGGCTTCCCCTTACATTTGTATGGGGTCAACAAATCCAATAACTCTTCTCGTGAACCATTTGTTCTCAGATGAGGAAACCGGTAGACGCATCGAGATGTCCACGGTTCGATGAGGACCCGGGCGAAAAGTGTTAAAATTTTCAAAAAGATCTTTCTCTCGAGCACGAAGTGAGCTGAATGTTCCCTTATTATGAATCCTTTCTTCACTTCTTTTCTACGCTTCTGCATGCGGATAACTTTTGCACGCCGATTCATGTTTCCAAGCTCACCCTCAAGTTGTCTATGGAATCTATAGTGGACACTTGCGTTTTCTTGACAGTTTTTCATTCATCTCAAAATTTTCTGACACGCTGAATTTTCTTCTGATGTCAAGCGGGGAAACTTTTTTGGTTTTGCTTTGCTTGAAAACACTTCGAGCATGTGCACTCAGTCTTTATCTGTTGGGCCACGAAGTCTGAAAAATTGCACTGCTTCTACGAAAAGAGTACAAATATGAAACGTCTTTACACGTGGTTTGTTGTAATTTTGCAGACTATTGAGCAAAGCGGCAACCGGAATCTTGTCAGGCGAATGGGTCTTTATTCACAAAAAAACTAACAAGTGCATGGGTGAGAAAAGAAAACAAGAGGTTCTCTACAATGCGCCCTTCTGAAATTGTTTCACCTCGGTGTGGGATTCAATTCATTTTCTCACTTTTCCATCGATCGGCGATTTCCGAGAGGGAAAGAAAAAAACTCCGACACTCACCGAAATCCGAGGACTTCCAATGAATTTCGTTGGGATGACAATATCACAAATCCCGAGAAGCCGTGACTCGAGCTCACAAGAAGAAATTCTGCCAAACTCGACAACGCGAAATGTCATGCTTCGGAGTTCTCACGCACAAATCTCTCGAAAACTTGCTGATTTTGTTATGCTTTGTTTACCTCCTCATCATGCTAGTGTTTCTTGCTCAGTCAGCATTGATCCTGAAGCCGAATCTTGTTTAATCTTGTTTGCTAGTGGTTCAATGAGTGATTGCAAATTTCTGTTTCGACTAACTGAAGCCGCCGCTCGTTCAGCACCACGCTTATGTATGTATACTGAATCTTTCGTTTTTTTCGAGCCGAAAGCATGATGGTGTTTTTAAATATTTATCCACCGGTTTTGTTCGGCTCGTGTTTCAGCGAATGTGCTGAACAAATAAAAGGATTACTGCGTTTTGATCACAAAAAATGTTTACTTGTTTCCATACACTACTCGTACTGTAGATAAATAAGTGAAATGCATGCTACTTTCAGGTATAATTCGAGGAGTATAGTGAAGATATTTCACTCACAAGACGTGAAATCATCAGCAACAAGAGAGCTCAATTGAGTTTCCCCGTCGGAGCAAGTACCTCTCAATTTTGTTTTGTCAATTAGCTCGGATCTGGCAAACCAGGCGATGGTACAATCGCAAGCAATCGGATTCCCTAAGAATGAAAATTGAATGAATTATCAGATATTTGACGAGCGGAGAAAAAATCCACAGTTTAATCAAAAATCAGATCTATTAAACCGGAATAATTTCGAGCACATCTTTTGACAAAATCCCAGCATGTCGAATCTATTTTGAGAAATTATTTCGGCTGCGGAGGGTAAACCGAACTTTCATTTAAAATGTTGCGTTTGACACGATAGGGATACAATACTGTATTAGTTTCACGGAAATTTAAGGCATAGAAAATCCGAGATTTAATTCGACATTCAGAGTCTCTAATTCACAATTATTTGTATATCAAGACTGGACGAACATTAACTTTCTTAGAAAAACAGACCTTGGAAGGAAGGTCTAGGGGGTTTTTATAAGGAAAATTCTCTAAAGGTCAGGCTTTTTTGTGGAAAAAAGGAGTCTATTACTTCAACTTTTTAGCTGATACTGAAAAAATTTGCAGAAAAATGCCATCGCATACCGTCTATACTGATCAATCCTCCACCAGTTGAAATGAGTTCGAGTGGTGCTCGGAAGACGTTTTCAGGAAGAATTTCTACTTGATTTCCGCTCAAAACGAGAGTGGTGTCTCTAATGATCCCTATAGAAGTGGAAAATTTTCATTCCATTTAGAGATCACGGCATGAAAAATTCCTTTACAAATCAAGTAGTAAATAGATAATGTGCCTGGCTCTTTGTTTTATGGCGCGATTTCACCGTATATTCACACATAGACAAATAAATCGTCATATTTTAAAGGACGTTTATATTTTCGGATCGATTATGAACTCGTAATTTTTGTTTGTAATCCAAGATACAGTATTATGGAGTTCGAGCGCATCTTTATTTCTTGTAATTCGAGATTAGAAAAGAATATATTCTTTTCTCAAATGTAGTACTGCGTACCTGCAATGCCTCCCGACGGAAATTCGGTGATGTTGTTGTTTGACAAATCGACAAAATATAGTTGAGGGCTGTTGAAATGCAATGCCGTGGGTTCGATCGTGTTGATTTCATTGGAACCCAGCAGCAGCTGATCCAATGCAGGCATACTCAGCCCGAACCCATTCTTCAGCACAGAAACCTTGCTCCAGTAACCCATGAGGGTCACCACGTTCGGGGCACCGGTCAAAAAATTGCTCGGAATTTCTCGAATCCCAAGCGAGTCAATGTCCACGTATATTAAACTGGAACTGGTTATAGGCCGTAGTTCTCGGACTGGATTCGATCCGATGTCGAAGTCTCTTAATTTTGAAAACCTGCTGATGATTTCAAAAGGGAAATCTACAAGCAGGTTGCCATACAACGCCAGCTCGACCAAGGTGTTCTCCATGCCCGTGAATGTGGCAGCTGACACCGATGTTACATTGCACCAGCTGATTCTGAGAACCTCAAATGTAAGCCCGGAAAAATGATCGGAACCAGACAAATCGCCTGGGACCATGAAAAAAAAAAAAATCTCAGTGAATCAGACTGTCGATCAGGTGCATCATGATTCATCAGCTCCAAGGGGACTTCAAATTAAATAAATTCGAAATATTTGTTCATATCCCTGAATGTTGAATAATTTTCGTCAAGGATTTGTTCATGCTACTTTTCATTTGGAATATATCACTAGATGATTTTACAAACAAGGTTATTGAGGTTCTGGCTGCGATCAAGTTCTGCCTAACCTCCCGAAATACGAATATAAAAATTAAGATTATCTTGTAAGTGAAAGGTACATCTCAAATTGCAAAAATATTGGAATATATTCTGACTCGAAGAAAACCGGAAGTATGCTCCATTAATTGATCAATTCCATTGCCTAAACGTATATTTTCAACTCACCCAAGTCACTGAAAATCACTTCCAAGCTAGGCAAAAACTTATCAGGACCCTGAAAATTGCCCAGGATACTTCTCAACTCGTCAGCACTCCTCAAATACAAACAAACTATGCCAAAAGCCTGCCCGTCGCCATCTGCGTCACATGTACAGGGTGCTAAACTCTCTTCACTTGGACATGGAAGGCTTTGAACGGCCGAAAAAGACAGCGCAATGAAAGAAAGCCACCGAAGCGCACACTTGAACATTTCGGATCAGGTTTTTGAAGTGATGAGTGAATACTGAAGCAAAAATATTCAATATAATGAAGATAACCATCAACATTCGATGAACAAGTGACTCGTTTCTCACGATGATAACAAACAGGGACATAACACAGCCATTCGCGCAAATAGGATCGGCGTGACTTGTATATTTCCAAACTAGATGTCAGGCCATGAGCTGAAATCACAAAGCACAATAGAGGTGGCCTCTCCGTTTTAAATGTTTCGTCTATAATGGTATTTTCTGTATAACAAATATTCTTTCGGTCCCACAAGGTTCTCTTTTTATGCTACATGAGTTTCCCTCAACAGAAAAATTATTTTTACGATGAATTATTTTAGAAAAATGAGATGAAAAATCATTTTTGAGAATTTGTGGTCATCTTTCTTGAACTTGCTCAAACCCCTTTTGGACTTCCATGTTAAAAATCTGCCATCTACATTTCCGAAAGTGAAATTGGGTCAAAAACATTTTCAAAATGTTTTGAGCAGACATAATGTATTAGAGCTGCACTGCACACTTTCTGAAGTCAAATCAAGATGTGAAATTGCTTTTAGGTATTTTTATAGCTCTCTTGAAACCCTTTTTATGCCCGTTTCAAAACACCCCTAGATGCAATGTTAAAAATCTGCCATCCAAGCTTTTGAGAGTGAAATCAGATTGAAAATCTCTTTCTCAGGACTTTTTCAACAGACTTCATTCATTGAAGCTGCACTGCACGTGCTTTGGAATGATAATGACATTTGAACGTCGTTTTCAAGGATTTTCAAGTCAATTTTGAATTTTCTTGAAACCTCTTCAGAAACCTTGATGATAATCTTCAATCCAGACTTTTGAAATTATTCATTACACTTACAGTATTTGTATCCACGCTACTGCAATAAATGCAGCACACTGGGCGTTTATGCTTGTAATGTTAAACTTATTTTTACTTTAAATTGTATTGGTATACATATACATGTTTTAATACCCAATCACGGAGATATAGGGAAATAAAGCTTCAAACACAGAATAACAAACAAGTGCTTGTATTTTCAAAATCAAACACGAACAATGAAAGCAGGCTGCTGTGTAATGAAAACACTCTGAAAATAAATAATGAATTCCTGCAAAAATGTTTTCTTTTTACGAGTACAGTGGGCCCCCGACTTACGACGGGCCCATGTTACGTTAGTTTCAACCTACGACGCTTTTTTTAAACTAAAAAAACCCCCGACTTACGTCGGGGTTTCATGATACGACAGCTTCTGAAGTTCTTCAGCTCCCTCCCACCAACCATTTTTTTTTAATGCTGTACTGTATATATTCTTGGCAACAAGAACACGGTTGCACAAACTCGCAGGGTTCTTTACTCATTTGACACCCATAGGGAGGCTTGATTGTCTGGTGAAAATAGCTTCTAGTATGAAGCTGCACTGCACGTGCTTTGGAATGATAATGACATTTGAACGTCGTTTTCAAGGATTTTCAAGTCAATTTTGAATTTTCTTGAAACCTCTTCAGAAACCTTGATGATAATCTTCAATCCAGACATTTGAAATTATGCATTACACTTACAGTATTTGTATCCACGCTACTGCAATAAATGCAGCACACTGGGCGTTTATGCTTGTAATGTTAAACTCTTTTTTACTTTAAATTGTATTGATTTACATACACATGCTTTAATACCAAATCATGGGAATATGGGGAAGTAAAGTTTCAAACACAGAATAACAAACAAGTGTTTGTATTTTCAAAATCAAACACGAACAATGAAAGCAGGCTGCTGTGCAATGAAAACAATCTGAAAATAAATAATGAATTCCTGCAAAAATGTTTTCTTTTTACGAGTATTTGAAATAAAGCTGCTCTATTCCGCGCAAAAAAAAAAACATGTTGCCTTTTCCCTGAACAAGACTGATGCTTTTTGACCAAAACTTGTTGCACGACATCCTGGACATCTTTTTCGATGCAAAGAGTCTTAATTTTAGTGTTTTTCTGATGTTGCTCAGGGATACCTTTTTGGGAATACCTGCCATGCTCTTTCTGAAAAAAAGTCGACCCTGTTCCCCCCAACGTTCCGTTGACTCTTAAACTTCGTGATATCACTTCCTTCTGTAAAAGGAGGAGAAGGCAAGTTTCCCGCCTAGGAAACCTGTCAAATTGGTAACATCAACGCAGCGGGCGTGTTGAGGAGCTGACCAGCAATTTCCGGGTAAATGGGTCCGCTGAGAGACCCGTCTCCATTTTTAGTTGCTGAAGCAAGCTTGAGAAGGTACTGGTTGTTCAGTGCCTGGACTTTGTTCCCTCTATTGCCGTTAACAAGTACCGGTTGTCTGATGTTCCCGTAACTTGAACTGAACGGGAAGTTGGAAAATATCCTGCAGCACAGATAAAAGGAAAGAGTTGAAACCCAACTGGAGAGAAAAACATCTCATCCCATAATTTATTGCCTTTTTTTTGCCAGGTTACTCTCATAATGCTTTCATTGATTTCAAAATATCTGAAAATCCCTCGCTCGTTCGAGTGTAAGATTAAATGAAAAGAAAATTTGATCGAAATTCAAAATGTTCTCCCTCGTTTAAATAGGACAAAACTACAATTGTGAGATTTGCGATAATAGGTTGAGAATGGTTCAGAATAAAAAATATTGGTCCCACAAGATAATTACCACCGCTAATGTGGGCACATTGGCGGCTGTGAAGGCGGCTGTTGATGAAAATCTAGTTAAATTAATCTAGTTAAAAACTCGTTACTGATATGGGTCAGAATAAAATATGAACATTATTTGTCTGTTGTTCATTGTGCTTTGGGCACATGCAACTTTTCTCTGGGCGCAAAGGGTGTGTGAGTTGGAAATGTTTTTCGCAGAAGCAAGCAAGGAAGACTTCCCAGTGGACCTAATTTATAGCACGAGTGTATTTTTCATTAGTTTTACATGCAGATCCTAATTTACTATGCGTTTCCTTTTTTCTGAGAAGATTGAGAACTCGACCATTGATGCTGGACCTACGCAGCATTTTTAGGATGTAATCTGAACTGCTTCATGGAGTGCAAAAGTATCATATTTTCCACGAAGAACTGTAGCCACAGAGTTGAAGAAAAGATACTAAAAAAAGCTCGAATTTTTCCCCAATTTCAAAAATGTAATTCAAATGTGACTCATGCAATCGGCGATGATTTTGCTCTTTCTAAACTGAAGAAGTTTTGGTTCAGGATCTTAAATGAATTTTTCAGCGAAAATAACAAGGAGTATGCTCTGAACCGCTTTGGGATTTTCGGTCATGCCTTACGGCGCGTTTTGCAGATTACCTGGCTTCTTTGGTGCCAGAGGCGTCAGTCATGAACCCAGATGCAACATCAGCAGCCATCATCATGGTCTCCTTTTCTTCGGATCCCGGGTGAACAATAAGGGCCTCGATTTCTGAGGCAGACGACCTGGAGGCGATCTTATCCGCACCCACAGCATCCAAGTCCGGGGCTGCATTTTTCTCCGCGTGCTTCTCCTGGCTCGGTTTGGCCTCTGGGGCGGGATTGTAGGCCAAGACTAATTGAGGGGACTGATAAGACCCGTACTGGGCATGGGTACCCGGGTATGCCGCGATTATGGGATACGGCACGGCCTGGATCGCAGGTTGTGGCTGCTGCTGGTAGGTGTAGAATGGGTGTTCAGGCAGCCCCGAATAGGCCAGGGGTTGACTTTGGTAATATCTCAGGGCGTCCAGCACAGGTTGCTGGTACGACGCCTGCTGGAACCCACCGTAATACGCCCTGAAATGTGCCAGATTTTTTTTCACCTTGTACAAAACATATTTCTTTCCTCTTCCCAAGTAAAATGGGGATCCTTTGGACAGGTTACCCATTAAAGTGTACAGAGGGCGCGTTGAGAAGCTGGCCAGCAATTTCCGGGTAAATGGGTGTTTAGTTGCAGAAGCCAGCTCTTGAGGAGGTACTGGTTTCTCAGTGCTTGGACTCGGTTTCCCTATTACCGTTAACAAGTACCGGTAGTCGGCTCATGTTACTTGAATTGTACACAGTTGAAACCCATCTCAAGAGAAAAAAAAACAAGCCATCCCTTCAATTTTTGTACAGAACGCATCCGTTTTTTACGCATACAATTAAGAAAGAAACTATTCAAACATTACTGAAGAATGTTGCCAGCAAAAGCAGTTCTTTCAAATTGAAATTTATTCGACAGTCTCCTAGGATTAGAAAGGCGAGAGTACCTTTGAGAAGAATTTTAGTAAGCGTAAGGGTCGTCAAATAGTGGCAATACCTTCAGAAAGACTACCCTGATGAAAGAGTCTGAACGTGTATAGGTAAGTTGAATCAATGCACATGTTTATCCAAGACCAATCGTCATTTTGCCCACTATTTTTCAATTAATTTATTTTTTATTTACTTTCTTGACGCAATTGCAGAGTCTATTGAAAGTCTGCGCAATTTCCAGGGATTCGGAAGAACTGGTTTGAGCAGTTGTGCCATCTAGAACTATACTCACGGATAAGTGTATGCATATGGAACATCATAAAGGGGTTTTCCTTCAGCTACAAACAGAATCGCCCCGCACAGCTGTGGAAAAAGTAACCATGAAACGATACTCAGTAAGGCAAGTTTCAAACACATATCTGATTTATTTCCAACAACGAAATACGCAAGGATCAAGTGATCTCTCCAAAAATAGGACTGCTGTGATATCATGATGAAAGATATGTCTGGAACTCTGAACTCACAATTCCGTGTACTTTAGTGAGGCTCATGATGTAGGGTGACGCAGAAAAGTTTGGATTGAGGACAATATTTCTAAATAAATGACATTAAAAATACTTACATGAGAGAAACATTTCAAAAGATTTTATGACGCTTTCACGGGTTTACTACTCATCATAGTAGCTACGGTTGTAGGTGAAAATGCCCAAACAAATGAAAATTTTGCTGAAGTGAAAGAAAAACATCAGCCAACGAGTTGCATTTTGAAAAATATGAAAGGGAGTAGCTCAACTGGATTATAAATGCATCTTGATTCACAGACTTCCCCGTAAAGTTGCATTTTGTTTTTTAAGGCGGTTATGATGAAAATTTTGAATGAAGAAAATTAAAAATTGGGGGCTTACATTCTTGAGTTCCAAATTTAAAAAAAAATAAGCAAACGAGCGCACGCCTTTAGAAAATTTATGGGCCAGCCTTTTAGAATATAGTTGAAATTTGCTAAATACTCGGATGGTACACTTTTCACAACTTGACCCACAGAGCTGACTACTTTTTGACAAACTTCAATGTTTATCAGTAATTCATTCAGTCACCTTTTACCTGCGGTCTTATGAGGTTTGGTTATTTTTTTGGACCATGTTGGAAATGTATTTCTATTTCATTAAAAAAAATAAAAATCTTACGCAGAAATAATTCAAAAGCCTAGAATATCAGGAATTCTGAGTATATCGACCGCCGTTCCGTTTCCAGAGATATTTTGAGTTTGAAGTTCAAATGACCACCTTCTTCGAGCATACAACATTTTAATCTCAACTTCAAAAATGTTTAGCCTTATTTTTATTTGTGGCATATTTAATTTGATATTACTTTCAGTTTGAAACACAGCTAAAATGTTCCGAGCCGCACTGTGAAAGGCGAGGATGGGCTGCATTCCTTACCAGCAATGTCAACATGATGAAACTGGATCACTTGTACTTGGTCAATCCACAAATAAAAAAAAACTTTACCTGCGGCCTTTCCTCGAGATTGGACCGACTCCAGAGACCCGGTTGAGGTTCTCTGTTCATTTTACAGGTCTCGTACTATTTCGGACCTTAGTTTTTCTGTCTCGTTCCTTGAGTCAGACCACTAGGAGGCATGGCTTACTCTAGTGGCAAAGAAGACTTTTCACACTATAGTCATGGTAACTATTACGATTGTCCTTCATTTTAAACTTGAATATGTTAATGCATAAAGCATCTCTGCACATCCAATCCAGAAAGTTTGAATGGGGTATAAGAAAATGTTTACTGCACGTTGAAACTCTTTTCCACTTTCAATTTTTTTCATTCCTTTTTATTTAGCCACACTTTATTTTTCAACATTATTGGATGTACGCTATAAAGGTTACTAAATTTCAGTGTTGGCTACATCCATATATTCAAGTAGTTTCAAAAATAAATTCGTGTTTCCTGAAAAAAATCAAAAAGCGGAAAAAAAGAGTTAACATTTTTAGTTGTTTATCAATTATGATGGATCAGTCCCACCAATAAATACAGACCAACATCCCCCAATATTGAAAAATATGAAAGCAGTATGAATAATTAAAATTAATAATATAAAAAAGTAATGTAAATAACTATTTATTTTTGAAACGATGTAAGATGGTGATGAATTCTAAGCTTGAGTACGAGATAGAATTCAGTAAAAATTAGTACAAAATAACATGAAATAATAGCCAAGAGAGTCCATCGTACCTCATGTAGGAACTCCTGCCTTGACTCTTGTTTCCACACAATGGACTCCGAAGTGTGCCCTGTGGGATGGCAGGACATACTCCGGAGTACACGCAGTCCAGGCAAGACCTGCTGGTGGAGTACAACGTCTTGCCCGGTGGAGTCATCTGTGGCGTCTACACCCAGAGAGAACCACTACTCCCACACACAGTTCACTTTTCTCCTTGCCACCTGATCCCACTGCCTTCTCCTCATGTCCCGATTTCACAGCATGTTGGTTGCTTCAAAAAATAAGGACCACCCTGATTTTTCTTCGCGGAGCATCAATTAACCTGATTCTGGGACAACCGTGACACACTGACACGTCCCAATAATTGGGTCGAATCCCGTGAAACGAGACCCGATTATTTGATTCAACTTGACTTCATAAATTAAAGCAAATTTGAGGCTGATAAATATAACCCTCAGCAATTTAAATTTACATTTTAGTGATGAATTCATTATTTGAAGACAATTATATTGTGAATCTCGAGCGTGTGGATCTTTCTCTACACTATTAAAATCAGAAAGATGGCAGAATCATATCAAATGACACGAGATATAAGAGTAATCGCAGTCAACATAAGTGACAAAACCGAGCAGTAAAAAAGAAATACATGAGGTAATACGTTTTTAATGTGGAAATGCTCACACGCACTCGCTTTTATTGGCTCGACTACAGCCCGCTTTCAAGTTCTTGAAACAAGTGGAATTGAAAGTTGATCTTTCGTTTCTCTCGAACAGGTCGTATCCGGAATTTATTTTCGTAAGTTGATGCGTTCAAGAGATGAAAACAAGATAGGTGGTCAGAAAATAAGCAAACATTATTCCATTAAAAATGTCTTTATTCATGACCAGGTTCAGGGTAACAAATTGCTGTTCGACGAATGTTCGTGCGTTGCATAGGACGATTAAATGGGATGGTGGAATAACGTCGTAATTCCAACACCGGATTACTGTCGTCAAGCCTATCCTGGAACAAACTCGTGAAAAAAATCTTTCCGTACTTCACAACTGGACCAACCTCATACAGCAAAGAATTCCTCAAGTCCCAACATCTCGGGTAGAACATAAAGACGATGTTATTCCTGACGAAGATATTCCGCGACGAGTTTAATTCGTGACGACATTAGGCCTGGCGACGTTATTCCAGCCACCCGATTAAATGAACCCGTTTCGATAATCGACAAGCACATTATATGCACTGATAAATAAATTTATCATGCATTGGATCGTAAAAAATAAGTTCATATATTTTTTCTAAGGAAAACAGTTACTTTTTCCTTGATGCCCCTCCAGTTAGCGGGATGTATCGCAAGGGTGGCATGTCAGCAAAGAAAATAGCGGGTGGAAAAAGCCACAAACCATCTACGCTCAGAAATTTGCCACTCTGGCTACATAATGCCCTGCATTTTTCTTCCACCGGAAGACGGTTCGATGCTCTTGTGTGGGCAAGAAAATTGCTTCGAAGTAGGCTTCAGGTCATGATGAGGGTGAAAAGCTTTCCGCCCTAAAAATGAGTGCATGGATTCAATTCTTGAGAAAATATCTGAATATTGGATCGTCCAGGAAAATGCAGATGCATTACTCAAAAACTTGATTTATTGTTCAATTATTAGTTGAAGCAAATGAAAAAGACTTGTTAGAGTGTGCATCTGCCTTGGATTCGATGGTCTATATCTGAATGAATAATGCCCATGGTGGGTGTACGACAAGCACTTTTGAATTTGATAAAGTTAGACCTTTTTATCTAACGTGCTCTAAAATGCATTATTCCCCAACCCATGGTCCGCAGACCGGTGCCGGTCCACAGATTTCTTTTGCCGGTCCACGGGAAAATTTCTTCAGCATGATAAATGTATAGAAGGTAGTAATGAAGCCTGTTATCCTCAATTATCCACAAGTTTGGAATTTTACGGTCAACTTTAATAGACTCTTTTTACTTTCAGTCGAAAAGAATAAATATGTCAAATCCGTAGTTTGTACAGAAGTGGACAGACTTTACGTAATAAAAGTCAAACTTTAGACTCTTCGGAAACTTGAAGCTCAGCTTTCTAATTTTTTTCTCTCAAGACATTCCAATATGTAACTGCGTACAGTATTAGCTCTTTTCTTAATTTTTGCAGTGCAAGTTTTGTTTTGAGGATTTCATGGCAGGTATTTTAAAAAATTCCTTGTCCTCAAGAAATTTTTTGTATCTCTGCCAGTCAGCAGAAAATTTTATGACAATATGCCGGTCTGCAAAATATTTTATTGAAATTTTTATGGTCTAAAAGCAAGAAAGGCTGGGGAATTCTGCTCTAATGCACATGCGCTATTAAATGCAAAATTGGTCCGTACTTGAATAATCCTTTTAATAAGTTTCACAGGGGAAAGTGTGCAGTGTATCATCAATGCGTAAAGTCTGGAGAAAAAGGATTTGTAAATAGGGTGAAGTACATCCTGCCTAGGTGAGGTATACTTGTAGTATTCTACCATCCAATTTATTTCTATGCAGACATTCCCTCAAACAAATATTTTTCTTCTGGATTACACTGGGGTAAGTGATTAGTGCAGCTTCAATGCATGAAGTCTGCAGAAAAAGTAATCTAAAGCAGGATTTAGACATAGGTTGGAGTACATCCTGCCTAGGTAAGGCATACTCACCTTGTAGCATTCCGCCATCCTATGTATTTTGCACTGAATGCCCTCAAATCAAGTGCTGATTAACCCCAGCACTATCAATACGCACAGTTCAAATATAACTGATGCCGTATGAAGTCAGACACTAGCCTTGCCTTAAAATTTTTTTTTTTACTCCACTGGTTCGCTTTATGATCCATCCACTGGATTTTCCAGTTCTACTTGACAGGTAATCCTGGAACTGCGCACTAACTTTGATGCATGATTCAGTCCATGTATCTTTGCCTCCTTTTTTTGTTATACCTGTTTTTAACAGGACGGGAAACTCGTGACCACTTCTACTGCACCTTATTTCAGTCATAAAATACAATTAAATAACCACTTTATTGGCCCGTTAGGTGTGGGCAAACATTAGAGGTAGACTTCTGAAGTTCGAAAAGGTGGCGAATCTATTTGCATCTTTATTAGCTTGCTTTTATGCAAAAAAAACAGAACGATATTATGTGTACACCGGTGACCCTCGTCTGATGGAATTGATCGCAAACGCAGCTCACAGAAAGAGATCTTTTTTATTCTCGAAAACGCAGAAATCAGATTGCCCAAGTTTCGTAGGATTTTAATGCCATAAGCGAAAAGTGAAGCCCGTTTCAAGCTAGTAAGCGTCAGGTAGCGTGCATTCCAGGTTCGCGATCCGGTTTGTGCTGTCGTTGTTCCGTTTCAGTATCCATTCAGCCATAAAATCCTGCAAATTACATGAAATATTGGATCATTAAGAATGAAAAACTTACGATCAGGAAATGTGAATATTTTTCAGACTGACTCTCAATTGACGCCTTATTCGTTCTTGCCAATCTAACGCTTCACTTTGCCACAAAAGATTTGCTTTTGCGCCTCAAAGATAAAATAAATTTTCGGATTGAAGAAGATGCCAGGGGATATTGCCACTGAAGTTCTTCTAGCTCTCGTCTGTTGCTTTAAATTTTTTTTAACTAAGTGTAGCAAAAGTCACGCAGGATTTTGACGGTACCTTTCTTGTTAATGCAGTACATGTAATTTCGTTCACTCAGAAATAAATGGTGAAAGATGAAATTTAATATTGAGACCATTTGAGCCACGAGGAAAGAACATGTTTTTTAAAGGAGTATTATTCAAGAGGAATTTGTTCGTGGCGATTTTTCTCTCGACTTAGTGGGGGAATTAAACCGGAAAACCCCACGCGTGGACGAAGAACGCTCCCAGAACACGATATGATTTTCTAACCTTTATTTCTCATTTTACTCCAACCAACCAATCTTTCACGCTAAGGTCTATAGCATTAGCTTTTTAAAGGGCTGAAACTGAATTTGGGTGCTTTATTTTTTTAAGCGAACTCACGTCCTCCATAACCACGACGGAAGCCTCCTCGACGACCCCCGTACCCGCGACGTCCCCCATAACGCTGTTCAGAAACCGACAGGTCCTCGGGTTGCTTTTTCAACTCCAGCAGCTGGGGTTCATTCTGGGCCGCAACAAAGGCTCCAAAAAGGGCCAACACAGCAAAGAAAACCAGAGTCTAAGAAATGCAATCGAGAAGCCACTCATTATAAATTCATCAATGAAGCAAAGGCAGCAACGATAAGACTCACGATTCGCATGTTGCTCAAGGAAGATTAAAAAAAAAATCCCTGGAAAAAAAAACAGGAACAGTTCACTATATAGTGCTTGGTATATATAGCAATTGGCTCGTTGTCCTCGGGACTGAGAGGGTTGCTGATGTGTCAGTCGGCGAGCAGAGCTTCGCGGTTTTTATAGCCTCAGAGGAGATTCAGGGAAAGGCGTTGGCTACTGTTGCCACTCTAAAAAAAAAAAGCATTAGGTAAGGTGTAAATACGACCTTCGCTGATAGCCGTGCATCCATTCCATTAACTGTCTGACTTGGGGATATTCCCAAGCGGCGCACCTGCGGAAATTCCTGCTCATCATCGCCTTACAGGCCGTGGCATGAAGTACCATCACCCAGGTTTCCACGAAATCGTGGAAGGCCTTCTAATAATTTGGTCAATATGAGCTGGATTTCATCGCCGTTTGATTTCTTGTGACTTTCTAGAAAGTGAGATTCTTTCTCTTAATTTTCGAGTCCACAAGAGGCACTACTTCACAGCTTGTCAGCACGACAGTTGCAGGATGTTTTCTTGCCAAGCAATATTGAACCATTAAATTGTTTGAAGCATGAAGCTCTCATCGATGAGCACGAATTCTTTCAAGTAGTTTGGGGAATTCAAATGCGTTTTCAGTAATTTTTAGCCAATTTCACATAAAACCAAAAACTGCAATTGGAAATCTTCTCCATTGCAGTAACGTCTAGATCTCTAGAATATGGAAATGTAATTTACAGTATGTAGCACATCTACATTTTTGAAAAGCATGTGCGAAGCCTAAACCTCCACATGAGAAGGTATTGATTTTTGAATTATAATTTTTAGATGTTCTAACTAAATTGCTGTAAGGTATTATAAATCTTTCTGCATTGATCAGCTCAAGAGGAATTCTTTCAAGGGTATGTTGTGCTTTAATGGGGTAGGATTCATATTGGAGGATTGAAAGGACAACCGTGAGTTTACTGATGTTATTTCATCTTATTAAATGTATAGAATTGTATACAGGTACTGAATAAGTTGGTATGTGTCCTGGTTAGACGAACGATTCTGCCCTGGAAGGATTAAAGCTACGATTCACCTGCAGAATCACGCCAGCGTGACGAACTGAGGCGGTTGAACTCTTGAAGCTTTCAAGGCCGAGGTAAACTAAGGCACTTATACTCTTTGTCTCATTTGAAGCGTAATCAGACAGAGAATGCATCATACGCATGCTATACAGGTGTGAACCGATTCATTGCACATTGGTTTTTGATCAAGTATGTTTGGGACTTCCAGGTTACGTGAGCTGCTCAATCCATTGACTGCAGCGTGATAATGACATTCATTTTTTTTCATTCAACCTATCCCCTTAATGCCCGACTACTTCGCAAAACGTCAGCACGATAATCAGTCTAGATTAGAGAGACCCTCAGGACTTTCATGTCAAGTTGGTTGCTTTCTGCAGACATGATGAATCATGCCTGAAAATCGATCGAGTATAGCGAGTAAATTGAGGCTCAAGTTGGAAGGACAAGTTGAAGTTTCCTTTTCTGACTCACAACACCAAAAAGAACGGACATTCAACGACTAAACGAACGCAGAACAGCAACGTGGGGAATTCCCGAGCTCAGTTATGCCAATCCGGGATTCCAATAAATTAAAAAGCACACATAAAACCACGAAGAAACAAAACCTTTCCGCACGATTCACATAAAATGCACCTGAGTTTCAGAGCGTTGCAACATATTGCTGAAGTCATTCAAGCACCGGTTGATTTCCACGTTTTCTAGGAATCTTTCGAGTGATTCAGCCGTAGTAGTAGTGATCTGGAAAGTTTTCGAAGGGGAAAAATGTATTCAAATTCCGAAAAGAACTGTCGACTTTTCTTCTTCTCACGACTGAATAATCCCTCTCCCCTCTTTTGAGAACGTTCAAAAAATCGAACGATCTTCTCAATGATTAAATTCCCAGAACAAAATGCCACAAAGGGCCTTTCAGTATACCGCACATAAGAAACGACGGATAGGATGCTGTTAACATCGAAATTATGACAAGACATCCTAATTAAGAAGCTCAATTTAGCACTTACTCCTGCGATTCCCATATGCGTTTCCATAGCCGCCATAGTAGCCGCCTCCACCGTAGGGGCGGTTGTAGCCTCCATAGCCACCGTATCCACCATAGGGTCTGAAATGGTTGGTGTAGTATCCGCCTCTGTAGCCATAACCGCCATGGCCTCCGTAGTGATGAGCATCACCGATCAGATCAGTAACGGCAACACCTTCGACCAAATTCACGCCAGGAATGATGTTTTCGCCGGGAATTACGTCTGACCCGATGAGTTCCACGAATTCTTGCGGGCGCGCGGACGCATATCCGACGCAGACCAGGGCCAACAGCAATGCCTGTCAATATTATTCAGCAAGAATGATAACGTCAAGACACTTATTCTGAATCAACAAATTTCAATGGAAAAATTTATAATCTAATCATTAACTGCTGTATAGTAAACATGGCTGGCTGAAAAGTTTCCACTCGCGTTTCTTTAACGCGAGAAAAAAAGATTGAGATCCATCACCAGGTGTTTCACTCATACAATATTTAAATAACTAATATTCGCTTTCTTAGAATTGATAGGATTGAATTCAGCAGTAAAGGTTTTCAGGATGAGACTCACGATTTTCATTTTGAAGGTTCAACGAAGACCTGTTACCGCTCGAGCGACTTGACTTGATCACACTAGGTTCAAGAAACCTCTGAACGGCGTGGAGAACCCGAGCTTATATACCCTCAGGCCGCCTAGCGGTTCCTCCGATGATCTGATATTTGGTGCAGGTTTTTTTTCTTTTCGTCACACACCTTTTTTATGCGGGACAAAGAGAGAGCCGGTCAAGAAATCGGCATAAAGGAAGAAAGACCGGTCCTCGGAATCCAACGACGTGAAAGGGGTTCTTGTTGGAACTTTCTTCTGCCTTTTTTTTTTCAACTGCATGATGCACGTTTGCTCCCGTTGGAAAGTGAGCTGTGTTCAATAGCTAGCCTGGGGTCAACGGGTGCTGAACAAGAAATGGTTGTTTTTGGGTTCTTATCTGTGCTCATACCACGAAATAATGATTTAAAAAAAATACATAGATATATTCTAATATGACGATCGGCGCCTTTCCCGCAGTTTCTCAGAACCGTTTATCTAGAACTATGGTGCACCAATATGGACGAAGCTAGGAAAAAAGCTGTGATTCCATGGAGTGGGAAAAAGGTAAATCAGGCCAGGATGACGAATCAAATATCCTTTGTATACCCGCATAAGAGACAAGGGGGGGGGGAGAAAAAGGGTGCGGAAACGTGCACGGGTCAATCGGCAGTCGGCGACGGGTTCGGGTTCGCAGTCGCGAGGGCAAGGAACGCGTGACCGGGGAATCCCCTGCCGCAGTTCGCCCTAGGGCAACCCGTTTGATCCAGTTCTCTCCGCCTTCGGGTTCAATACAGGACGTGCTTCGGGTTAGATTCCGACTATCCACGAGGGCAAGGAACGCGTGACCGGGGAATCCCCTGCCGCAGTTCGCCCTAGGGCAACCCGTTTGATCCAGTTCTCTCCGCCTTCGGGTTCAATACAGGACGTGCTTCGGGTTAGATTCCGACTATCCACGTGGCAGACATGATGCTCGGCTGATGGGTTCGAATGCTCATGCTGTGCAAAAGTTCGTCTGACGAGAGGCTGTAATAATACGTACTGCTGGTTCAGGAGAGTTCACGGTGCAGTCTCTGGGAAGGATGGAACGGAAGTTCGCAGTCTGTACGATAAGTTCTCCATTGCGGGTATTCGATAAGCTGTTCGGCTTACAAGAAATCAACATTAAAATCATGCTTCATATTCTGATTGTCGTTATTTATTCTTTCCAGCGCTTCAAAATTAACATACGGCAATAAATGAGAAACGTAACCACTAAACATAACCACGAGCACAGTTAGGATCAAATTTCGAAAATTCTACTTTGTTTCCTTGAGAAGAGTGGAAATGTGGATACCTCAGATGTTGGGAAATATTTTCAAAATTCAAAAATTACGGATTTCCCCGCTACCTGTATCGCCAATGATGTGTTAGTGGCATTCTTAATTCTAAGGGGATACGGATGCTACCTATTTGTTTTCCTAGGACAGGAATAATTGAAATAAAGTGTAAATTTAGTAGATTAAAAAATTAATCTAAAAAACCACGTTTTCAAAAAGCAAAAAATAACCTTAAACGTGGTGCGCATCTATTTCATTTGTATTTCACTTCTTCCCAACAATCTCCATGCGCACCACGTTTAAGGTTATTTTTTGCTTTTTGAAAACGTGGTTTTTTAGATTAATTTTTTAATCTACTAAATTTTTTTGTGCTTTTTAGTCTTACTTGAAAAACGTGGTTTTTTAGATTATTTTTTAAATCTACTATAAACTAAAAAACCACGTTTTCAAAAAGCAAAAAATAACCGGCCAGGACTGGCCAGGGCCTGGGAGGGGAGGCCACGTTTGGCCCGTTGACCATGTGACCATCTGGCTTTAGCAAATAGCAATTAAAGTCATATGTTTGTGATTTGAACATTACACCAAAATTAATTCTTAAATGTGGTGCGCATGGAGATTGTTGGGAAAAAGTGAAATACAAATGAAATAGATGCACATGGAGATTGTTGGGAAGAAGTGAAATACAAATGAAATAGATGCGCACCATGTTTAAGAATTAATTTTGGTGTAATGTTCAAATCACAAACATATGACTTTAATCGCTATTTGCTAAAGCCAGATGGTCACACGGTCAACGGGCCAAACATGGCCTCCCCTCCTAGGCCCTGGCCAGTCCTGGCTGGTTACTTTTTGCTTTTTGAAAATGTGGTTTTTTAGATTAATTTTTTAATCTACTAAATTTTTTTGTGCTTTTTAGTCTTACTTGAAAAACATGGTTTTTTAGATTAATTTTTTAATCTACTATAATTATTTTATTCTTTAAAAAAAATATTCTTATAATTATTCTTTTCACAAAAGATTGCATTGTCATCAGTTTCTAAGCTATCCTGAAAGTTTCAGCTTGCTAGCTAGTTGGGAAGTGAGCAAAATTTGAGTTGCAAAATTTGATC